ATTTCACAAGAAGAGTTCTCCACTCCTCTACTCATTGCAGAATACCTTATGCCACCAGACTCGAAATTCTAGACCTAGAAAATCTAGAACTACGCTGCCTTCAGTCCGATCTAAGTATAGTGTATAAAATCATACATTGCAATGTCCTACCTGTCAATGAATACTTCAGCTTCAACCATAACAACACAAGAGCAAACAATAGATACAAACTCAAGGTTAACCGCACCAAACTTGATTGCAGGAAATACGACTTCAGCAACAGAGTTATCAATGTCTGGAATACTCTACCTGACTCTGTGGTTTTTTTCCCCAAACCCCAAAAACTTTAACCTTAGACTGTCTACTATTGACCTCACCCCTTTCCTAAGAGGTCTGTAGGGGGTGTACATAAGCGCACCAACGTGCCTACCGTCCCTGTCCTATTGTTTCTTTTATATTTTTTTATTTTTCTTATATGTATCCATGTATTTATAACTATGTTTTTACTTATACCTATTATCTTGTAAGCGATTGACAAATAAATACATAAAAATAAATAAATTAGACGAATGCTTCCTTATAAGCAAACTAGCCAAAAAGCAAACAAATCCAGAGAGACAAAAGAAAGTCCTGGTTGCCTTGCAGTAAAGATAGATCACCTGCTTATTTTGGGAAGGCATGAATGGATAACACTATGGTCACCCCTCCTCCCTCAAGATGTGTTCTGACCAAGGCTTCCTGAGACTGTAATTAATCCCACGCTTAGTCCAAACAACCTTCTTTTTATTTCAATGGCTGGGGATTATGTTCATTTCCAGCTGTATTGAGTCCCAAACAGTCTCTCGAGATAAGCACCCATCTTTATCTCCTTTGAATTGTTGCCAACAACTAAAGTGCCAAATTAACTGTAAAAAGCCAAACGGAGTACAAAGTCCATACAGAGTTTCAAGGTTTAATCCGAACAGAGCGAACAAAGTTGCTTCCTGCAAAGGTTCCTGTCCCTTTGCTCCTCCTTTATGTCTTATGGGAGGGCCAATCACCTCCAAGCCTTATTCCCAAGTCACCCCTTTTGTCTTAACTGTTCTTGCCTTCTGGCAGCTCTGCGCATGTGCACACTGGGAACAGGCTCTTCTTGTTCCTCTGCCTCACTGCTGTCAGATGGCCCAGGCCCCATCTCTGTATCGGATGCAAAACCCTCATCCGAGTCCTCCCCAGACTCCCGGACTGGCCCATGTTCCTCCCCACTGTCCAACTCTGCTGCCGTCTCCGCAGGCTGCCGGCGGACCACAACGGGATGTAAGGAAGACAGTCTCTACCTTAGTTTTCTTGATCTTCATCAAATGTGGTACAAGCAAGGAAGCCTGGATGGCCTAAAATGCTTCATACCATCTTATGTAAATATCTCCATTTCAACTGGCTGGTGTATATTTTGCTGGTGTGCCCTTCCCATCCCCATTCTTGGCCTTCAACAGCAGTAGATTTCGGGGCTGTCTGTCATGAAAGCCTGGACTTCTGTGGGCTTTTTTCTCCCATTGTCAGAAGAATAGCAAAATGCTGCACAATTTGTGCACAATTCTGCCCAATTTTCCCTTCTAGTCCAAGTGACACTGTTATTGGTTGGGGGAGTGGGGTTGGGGTGTCCCTACCAGTCCTCAAAAGACATTCCCACGGGAAGGAAAGGAATTGGTGCTTGTTTTCCTGGTCTGAGTGGGAGATGAAGGGGAATCAGGAAAATCTACCAATTAGGAAACTTTTTCATTGTGGTGCAAATAGAACACTTGGCTACCTTTTGGCCAAAGTGAAAGAGGAGAATGAAACCTGGGAAACGATTTCTTTATCCCAGCTAGTTAATGCATAAGAGATAAGCAGTTGAAGGCTGCAGTGCAAAAAAGCCAGAGAGAAAAATTGAGAAATATACTTCACAGGTGGATAGAGGAAGAAGGGATGGAAAAGATAAGAAGCCAGAAACAAAAGAAAAGAAAGCCTTTATGTCAAATGAAACAATCATTCTGTAAACAACTGAAAACAGGATTTTGTGATGTATCTATTTAAAAAGAAGCAATGTTTGCCCAACATTAATTTTTCATACAATATTATTGTTAAATAATTAGTCGTTCATAATTAATGGGGCCACCTTCATGGGGCATTTTCACTGAAGCAACCCTGTACTGCAAATGAGAGAGGCAAAAATACCTTTCCCTTCCCATGTCTAAGATACTATGCTACTGGAAACTATTCACTGAGATATAATATCAGAGTAGAAATAAACCTGATCAGAACAACTCTTAAGTTATTATCAGGGTGAGGCGGCTTGAAGCAGGATTCTAAATTGTATTTATTTGTCCCTTAAATAAACTTAGAAAAAAAATCTGCCAATTCTGAGTAAACATACTCACTCTTTTGCCATGTTTCCCAAAATGGCTGTGAAGATGAAGAATATATGGGCGCCACAGCCACAGTTTACACAATGAATACAGTAGATAATTAGCAGTAATACACCCAAAGCCACACACATACCTCATTATCTGTTGTAATACTTTTCACTGTTTCCAGATTGTGAAAAAACGTCACTCCATTCTCTCCACTGTTGTAACATTGCATGTTCATGTTGCGTAGCTGGTTAAATTGATAGAACTCTGAATGAATTATATGTTTATTCATTGTAGTTTCACAAATCAGTGTAGAAATATCTGCCACAATTTCTCTTGTTTATTGTCTGTAAAAAGGAAAACAAATAGAAGTAAACAAATATTGAAAATTGGGTTTCCCACACCCAACCTTCAGAAAAACAGCTGTTGCGTGATGGAATATCCACCAAGCCCCCTATTATAATACATATCCATTGAACTAACAGAACTGGCTACCAATTGCCTATCAAGCCAGGTTCAGGGTTTTACTTATAAAATATAAGGTCCTAAGCAATCTTGGGATTAATGTATCTGACAGTTCAATCTTTATTGTACTTGTTGATTACAGAAATCACTGAGAGAGTTGTCCATTGGAACCACAGAGTACTCTTCCCAGTGAAATTTGTTACTGTCACATCTTTTAGGTATTTATTGAAAATATTTCTCTTAATAAAAGCCTTCCCTATATGGAAGTAGCATGAATGTGTTCTGTTTCTGGATTTATTTACCTTCTTTTTTTAAAAAAAAAAACTGTATGGTTTCTATATTGTTTTGAATGTATTGTTTTAATTGCACAATTTATATTTTGTAAATTGATTCAGAATGCTTGAAGCATCCTAAAAATAAATAATGTTGCTTTTGTTTACTTTCTCTGATTCCTTCCATTCCTTTCTTCCTAACCTATTAGGTTAGGGTCTGTGGTTATCAACTATTTTTGTAACTGCTAAATCCTTGAAACTATCCCAACTATCCCAAGATAATGTGCCATGGAGAACTTCTTTAGAAATATTCATATGAGCTGGCAGATTACAGTAATGAGGGCAAAGTAAAGGAAAAATAAAATTGGCCAAGGTCCTCTGAGATGGATTCACAACCAAATACAGAAGAGAAACAAAATATCTGGAATAAAGGATTCTCTGTGGAATAGACAGGAAACATGGATTTTCAAAGATTGAACTCCAACTCTTTTAACAACAAACAACCTCCCAGATTTGCTGAGAGTCAGGCACTATATACATTTAATAAATTTTATGGTTGGTTGCACAATCAGCCAAAATGGATTTGGCATTCCTTGTCCTTGTCTACTGGAGTCCCATAAAGATCAGATGTTGAGAGATGGTAATATTATGTACGTTTAAACAATATTGTGATGGTTATTAGATGGCGCATAAAAATATTGAACAATTAAACAATGAAGGAACACACTTAGATATAAATATGCATAACACTATAACTACATAAATATGATTAATGTAACAAACATTATTAATATTACTATTATTATTTGTACTTAAATGAATGATGCCCAGATACCTCACTGTTAATGTAACATTTAAAAATAAATAAATAAAAAAGAATAATAGAATAACTTAGTGATAGTCATAGGTTATTAAATAAGTAATTAAATCATACTAGGAAACAAATAAAACAATATAAATTGTAGAGATACAAGCAACAAGCTTGTAATCATAAGTGGGAGGAGATAGGTAATAGGAAGGATGACAAGAATAATAGTAATACAGTCTTATAAATAGTTTGACAATATTGTGGGAATTAGTTGTTTAGCAGAGTGATGGCATTCAGGAAAAAAATGTTCTTGTGTCTAGTTGTTCTGGTGTGCAGTGCCCTACAGCATCGTTTTGAGGGTAGAAGTTGAAATTTATATCCACAATGTGAGCAATATTTATAATATCCAGGATATTTAGCAATTTTACAGCTGTGCCAACTTTTAAGATTTGACTATCATCTTAAAATTGGAGCCAATCACTTTTTTTTTTACATTGCGTCTGCTAAAGAATTTTTTAAAAAGTCAAATCTATACGTGAAATATATAACAACTCGGGAAATAATTTGCTGTCCTGTCATGACTCCTGAAATAGTTGAAATAGAAATTGCTGTTTTCCTCTCGGGGATTTCTCACCCTTGACAACCTGAAACATGGCCAGCTGGGAATTCTGGGAGGTGAACTTCACACACCTTAATATCGCCAGGTTTGAGCAGCTCTATTAGCAAGTCACCTTGGCAGCCTATCCCGCCTCCTTCATCTGTCTGTCTGTCTTTCTCTCTCTCTCTCTCTCTCTGTGTGTGTGTGTGTGTGTGTGTGAGAGAGAGAGAGAGAGAGAGAGAGAGAAACGTTTCTCCCTATCAGTAATTTCACTGGAAAACGCTCTGTTAAAAGTGCACACAAGCGACCGCATTTCTATCCTCGAAATATCCGCGCCGTTCTAAAGTTCGAGCAAAAGAGAGAGAGAGAGAGAGAATTAAATGTGTTGCATGTAGAAATTTAAGTCCTAGGCATTTATTTATTTATTTATTTTTGCAAGCGGGCGGAAGAACTACAATTCCCGAAAGCCTGTGGGTCTGTAAGCAGCCCGCCGAAGAAGGAGGCGGTGACTTTGCTGTATTTCCTTCTTGAGCATGTTGTGGTTACTGGGGAGCCCGGAGGCAAACTTTTCCTTGATGCCTCCTCTGGGTTTCTTTTTATCGGCAAGGGTCTAGAAGGGCTTGATCAAAGGACAAGAGGAAGAAGCCACCGATTAGTGTCGATTGAAGAAGCCCCACTGTCCTGCCCTCCTCGTGCCGGGAAATGGAAGGAGGTATTACGCAGGAAGAGCCGCTGGTCAACTGCCCGGTTTGCCTGGTGGAACTTCCCTCTGCGCGCATCAACTCACACCTGGATACCTGTTTGCAGCTGCAGGACGAAGGGGAAAACTCGTTCACCGGAGTGGTCGGAAGCAGGAGCAGCAGCGCCCCAAAACCCACAGCAGGAACGGGGCTGCCCCCTCTGACCCAGCAGCCCTGCTCTAAGAAAATGCGGCTCTCCCAATCTCCGGAGCGGAGAAACCAAGAAGAGGAGCCGAGGAATGACCTCGGTTCTTCCCCGGTGTTTTCTCTTTTTCACAGAGGCAGAAATCTAGGAGGAGCCCAAGCGGGGGTATCCCGGGGCGCTGTTACCTCTCCAAATCCGGGAAAGGGGGAAGAGCGGTGGGGGGAGAATCCCGAGCGAGCACCAGATGCTTTGGAACCGCTGTTGAAGGGAGAGAGTCTGGCCCAAAAACTGGAAGGGAAGCCTCTGGCCGATAAGCTGCGGCCGACCCATCTGGGAGATTATGTGGGTCAGAACCAGGTGTTGGGGAAAGAGACCCTCTTGCGGTCCTTGCTGGAGGCTCACGAAATCCCCTCACTCATTCTTTGGGGACCTCCAGGCTGTGGAAAGGTGAGTGGTACTAAGGGGCACTAGTACCACTAGTACTAGTAGAGTGGTACGTTTTCTTCTCTAACTTCCTTCCCCTGGGACATCTCAGAACAATTAACCAGTGGAACACCTTGCCTTTCAGAAGTTGTAGGTGCTTCATCACTGGAGGTTTTTAAGAAAAGAGGACTAGATGACCTCGAAGGTCCCTTCCAGCACTATTCTGATTCCGGCTAAACTCAGCATAGCTTGTGGTCCTTAAGGTTTGCTTACGCGCTGGAAGGCAGCATGGCCTGGCTGGAGGGACATTTTACTGTTATGGTCCAGTGTTGAAGCCCATGCTGTCTTATGAGGAAATGCTTCAGCCTATCAAAGAGCATGCGGTCAGAGAATGTCATCTCACCCTCATGTGCTTAGGATTAGTCAGGAAAGGGTCTGACAGGTGTCAGTTGTGTTTCTGTTTAAGATCAAGCATCCTTCCAGGGGACAGGAGGGAGGAAAGTCTGCACCCTTCTTTTCTCAAAGATTTTTAGGGTCCAGTTGATTGGATGGTAAAGATGTGGGAAGGAGTCACTTTCTGGAAGCATACATATAATTTTCTGGATCCCAAATTGTGTTTCCAGTTTGGGGAAGAATTAAGCATTCTACATTATGAGTAGTCTTCTCCATGGGAGAAAAGGAAATGAGTTGCCAGTTTATCATGCGATGATTCTTATTGGATTCCAGTACGCATAGCTTCTAATCATTTTGTTGATTGAGGATGAAGAAAATTGCAAAGAAGGGCATCTATTGGGGACACTTAGTTAGAATCTGATCTCTTAACCCAAAGATTCTTTTATCACAGAACATCTATTAAAATGATGACTGATGAGAAATTCTATAATCAGCAACACATGGAGAACCTTTGGACTCTGGCATAGATAAATTCTTCTGTGGTGTGGCAACACAGTTTGGAAATCTCTGCACTGTTGCTTCATACATTGTATTTAATCGAGTTGTTTAGTTAAACAGTGCCTTCAGAAAGTATTCAGACCCCCTTCATTTTTGTCAATTTTCTTATATTGTAGCCTGATTTTTTCCTCATTAATCTACACTCAATATCCCATAATGTCAAAGTGAAAATAGAATTTTAGAAATGTCTCTAAATTTATTAAAAAGAAAAACACTGAAATGTCACAGACGGACAGGGAGGCGAGGCGACGGCAGTACTGCTTCCCTGGCCGGCGGAGAGAGCCCGGAGCCGCCCGTCCTTTCCACCCCTAGCCCGTCCCCGTCCCCACACATCTCCAAATGCACCGGCAGCTCCAAACGCTGCAATGGCACGGGCATCGGGCAGAGGCACTGACTTGGCGAGGCTCAGCTTGGAGGAGGACGTGGCGCAAGCCGTCGCCTTGCCTCCCTGTCCACAGATGGGTGGGCGCTATCACTGCCTCGAGCGGCCTCTCCCGGTGGCCCCTTCAGGTTCGGGCTGGAGGGACTTGGGAAGGAAGCCAAGCTCAGGTTGGCCCGGCTCTTTCGCTTGGCAGGAGGGCGCGCACCCGCGGCTCGCTTTCCCGTCTCTGCCCAGCCCGCACGGCTCTGGCGCGGCCCTGGCAGGATGAGCGGAGGGCCTGGCGGGGAGGCACTCGCTGCCTTGGCGAGAGCTCTGCCGCCAGGCAGGAGAGCCCGCCTGTCAGTTGCGCTGGGCGCCCCAGGCAAAGCTCTTCGCGCTCTGCCCGTGCCAGGCAGGGATGGCGGCTGGGTGCTTCTCCCGGGGTGGGCCGATCCTGCGCTGCGGCCCCGGGAGATTCACCTCCCCATGTGGGGTTGGGCTGCCCTCTCGGGCAGGGGAGACTTTGTCGTACCGGTAGTAGGGCGTCATTTTTAAAAGAATTGGCTTTGCCTTCGAAGGCGAAGGGAAGGCGGCGACAGGAGCGCCTGAAGCCGAGTGTCTCCACCGGGCTCCGGTTGCAGGGAGGAGCCCTGGCTGGCCGCACGTGGCTGCGCAAAATGCTGCGGCGTTGCTCTAAACGCTGCGGCAGCACGGGAGAAGGGAAAGCAATGGTGGCGGAAGGTCTCCTGATACGCAGTGCCCCACCAATGTCAAAGTCAATGCAGGCAGCACCATATCTGGGTATGCAACAAAAGTACTTCCTAACGACAAGGCCCCCCCCCGCCATTCCCTCCCCATTTTGCATGTTTAATAGAGGTCTTAATTTGGAGGGAGGGGCTTAATTTGATTTTATGCCGATAAAACATGCTGGGACTTCCTATTGGGGGAAACCGTATTGTTGGAGAAATAGGGCAACATTGTAGGAGCTATGGAAAGCAATGTATAGACCTTATTGACCAAGCACTGTTTCTTTTCCACATCTTCCTCCCACCAAGAATTCCTCAGGGATTTCTGGAAACATAACAAATTGATTTTATGGCACTTTTTAGTTGTAACTTGAACTATTGCTGAACATAATTACTTAGGAATTTGATCCCTTTGAACTATATTTCTATATTTTTAAAAATCTTGCAGTAAACTCATATATGTCAGGTAGATACCCAAATCCTGATTAGATTAAAAAAAAGGAGAGGGGAAATTACATTCTCCAAATGGGGGGGAAATAATTGATGCTCTTACACTTCCCTCTGTTTTGTTATAACTTCATGGTAAACTAGGTGTTTTAAAAAATATAAATAATGTAAGAATAAACCTTTCTATTGTTTAATAGCATATTTGCCTTAGCAAAGCTTTCATAAACCATTCACTGATGAAGTGGGAATTACATTCTTGCAATTTTCATACCGTGATACACAGCTAACAAGTTTTACATAAGGTTGGTCTACCATAAGTGGCCTGCAAAAATCTGGTTGACCACAAGATGCAGTAACCAGATTCATGAAACACTTAATACTTGATTGCGCTCTAGAGCAGGGTTCCCCAACCCCCAGGCTGTGGACTGGCAGTGGTCTGCAGCACACCAAAAACAGGGCCACGGAAACAAGTGAAGCCCCATTGTGAATGTGTGGGATGCAGGCAGCACATGAAAACTCTGCCCCCCGCCAACACACAGAAAACTTCTCTCTACGGAACTGATCCCTGGTTGGGAGGTTGGGAGCCACTGATCTAGAGGTAATTTGAACGTCTGCGGTCCAGATATATAGCTCTAAAATGAGAAGTGTTAAACAGCTAGCATACCCCACAATATCTAACCACTCAAGTCCATAGAGATAGTCCTCAATTGAGCCCAAAATTTGCATTTCTGAGCAAGATAGTTGCGCCCATTGCAACCTTTCTTGCCACATTTATTAAGTGAATCGCTGTAGTTGTTACGTTAGTAACATTTTAAGTTAAGTTGTTTAGTAACTCTGGCTTCTCCATTGACTTTGCTTGACAGAATGTCGCAAAAAGCGATCACATAACCCCAGGACACAGCAACTGTGAAAACTACATGCCAGTTGCCAAGCGTCCAAATTTTGGTCACGGAACCATGCGGATGCTGCAACTCATAAATGTGAAAAATGGCCATAAGTCACTTTTCCAGTGCTATTGTAACTTTGAATGGTCACTAAACAAATGGTTCTAAGTTGAGGAATATGCCTGTTCTGGATGTCTGTCATGTAGGTCTCAAGGGAGCAATGTGGGCTAAAGCGGGGGTTTCCAACCGTAGCAATTTTAAGACTTGTGGACTTCAACTCCCAGAATTCCTCAATGAGCAAAGCTAGCTAAGGAATTCTGGGAGTTGAGGTCCACAAGTCTTAAAGTTGTTAAGGTTGGAGACCCCTGGGCTAAAGGACCTGTATCTGAATTCAACAGAAACTCAAAAGAGTTTATAAGCCCCTGAAGTATCTGGGAATGTATCTGAAGTCACACAGTAAGGGTCATCAGTCTGGACTACTAACTGGGCATCAGTCTGGACCGCTTATTAAAAAGAAAGAAAAGTTTCCATGGCTGCAAATGGCCCAGCTGCTTAAACCTAAGTTGCAACTTGAGTAAGTCGCCCTTTGATTTATGACCCTTTAATGTGCAAGATTTAGATTTTTGTTTGTCTGCCATGGAGCGCTCAGTTTTAGCTGAGAGAGACATCTACTGTGTAACCCAAGCACAGAGTAGCTTCAGCATTGGAAATTAACTTGGGAGCCAAAAACCCAGTATTTGCAGAGAGCCAACCTTGTTTATGTAAGCATCCTCAGATGACCAGAGATGGAAAAAAAGGACAATTAAGTGAATGTCTGGCATATTACCTAAAAACTGATTTGAAGATGACACAGCAGCTATCCTTGATTTTATAAGTGCAATCTTAGATTGCATTTAATGTAAGTATTCAGTGATGGGAACGTGTTAACTTTAAAGTAACACGCTGTTACTTTGCAATGGGTGTTATGTTTCAGTGAGCTTATTTTTACCACATAGCTTACCTTGTGTTTTATTCTAAACCTAATCATGAGAAGGCAAAAGCACTTCAGGTTCTGCGTCTGTGTGTGTGTGTGATTGTAGAAAAACGTTTATTATATTTTGCTTGGCAGTTGAATTTTGACTGAATTTTGTGCCCTTTTTATATAGCCCTTCTCCTATGCCCGCCATAGGCCAAGAGAGATGAGAGGATTGTATTGGTGTTGCTGAGGCTACATTAATGGCTTTGCATTATAATGCCAATGGTAGATAGGAAAGATTTCCCCCCCCTTATAGAATATAGCCACCATTGGCAATGTTGGATTTCAAAATGCAGAACTATAAATTCTGCTGTGCACCATTTTGTTTTGTTTGCTGAAGGGTTGCATTTTAACTGTTTTCTCCCTAGTTTATAACTTAGTGCAGTTTATGTACTTGCAAGATCCAAGGATTTTTGTTTATTCTAGAATTCAGAATAAGGGACTACAATCAGTGCTTGATTTATTGGGGAAGGATGATAAAGAACGATTAGCAAGGGTTAGAAGTTTCTACAATAAATCCTATAATTTCCAACCAGGAAGTTCAAATTAGAAAAGTGGTACTCGGTGTATTGCTCACAAATCCTATTTTTATTGTTAAAGTAGAATGACCCAAACTATAC